AAAGAGATGGAGAGGGATAAAACTAGACAAGAGAAAACAAATATGACAGGACAAGTTGAGAAATGCAGAGATGCTGGTGTACAACTCTCCAATGAGTCAGCTGAGATCCAGTCTGGCAGAACATGCTGAATCCAGGCTCTCTGAAAAGCGAAGACATCTCCTCAGAGTTCCATGCACCAGAGCTGCAAACTCCACTACCTGACTTGCTATGGTCTCCTGGGCCTCACAACACTGGTAAACATAGGGATGGAACAGAAGGAGCTCCGATCATGTTGGCCTTGGGGTGGGTCCTGTGGAGCTGCACCTCTGCACTACACCAGCACTCCTGTGAACGGCTTCACTAAGTCTGGTTGCACTGAGGACCTAAGATTAGTATCTACATTTGGACTATCTACAGATGAACCCAGTAACTACTTTAGAGAGAAACGTTCTGCGCTGTGGGAGCAGAGGAAGGTCTATGTGTTGTCAGAAGTACTCTGACACAGCACTAATAAGCTTGTCCTGAGATGACTCTGCAAGGAGGAGCGAGAGTGTCTCCACATGGCACTTATGATTTCAGGGGCATGGGACCAGTAAGGAGTCAGCTTGGGTCCAAAAAAATCTTATAAGGTCTAGCTCCATACCCAGATCTGGCAAAGGAAAGCACCACAGCTGTACCTCCACAGCTCTGGTCCAAAACCAGTAAATCATGCTGTCAAATGCCCATCTGTTTGGTCTTTGCACCCTTTATGCAATCACCTTGTCTCCTCTGTGAATATAACACTCCTGCAAAGTACTGCAGCACTGGATTTGGACCCAAAGGAAAGCAGTTTGAATACTCTCCAGCACAGAGCTATCAGAGCAACTCAGAAACAGGAAAGACATAGAAATATCCAATAAGAGGCAAGGGAATTATTGAACTTCCTCAGTAGCAGCAGCAGAAGTTGAGTTTTCTGTAAAAGTATTCTGCCTGGTAGCTCAGGAACTCTTTTTCTGCTAACTCAGGTAAGCCCCTATTAACTCCATTATTTTATTAAAAAGGGGCATTGATGCAAAAGGGGCAGGGACAGGGCAGAAATGGCTAGGCAAGAGTAGCAGGATCTCCTTTTATCTATATGGTACACAAGTATCTTTTGTTCTGAAAGGCAGGTTTGGCCTTCTGCACATGTTGAACTGCAGTAAAAGAATGGCAGTACCACAGTTATTCAGAAAAATGCCTCAGCATTTTCCTTTCTATCATGAACTGTTTATATAGCTCTCTCACACAGCAGCAGTGGGAAAATACTGGGGAAAATTAGAAACTTGAATGCAAAACTTTAAAAAAGAAGCACAAACCAAACTAAAACAATCTGCAATTGAAATCATGCTTTTGAACTCAACTTCATGAACACTGTTTCCACCATCATCTCAGCAACCTAGAATTGTGCAGGTAAGACACAACATCACAGTTAGAGGGCACATTTGGGCTTTGCTGAATTTTCAAGTTAGAGGCACCTACAATCCAGGGGATCTAGGCACAAAATTTAGCTGAAGATTTCTTGTAAATATTAGCCTAAATATTATGACCTGTTTAAGAACTTCTCCTCCTGAATACAGTGACTCAGTGAAAGAAAGAGTAGCTTCAGGCCATCTTCCCAACTACTTGGCTGGCAAGGGGCCAAACAATTCCCCAATCCCACCAGCCAAAAGCTACCATGAGGATCATTCTCACAGCTGGGCTTCTTGAGATCTCAGTATTTTCCATATGCACAGCCTAATGTGTCCCTGAACAGCACTGATTCTAGTTCTCTATGAAAAGGGAATCTTCACCTGCTGCATTATGTCCCCTCTGGACCACTGGAAGAGCACAGAAGTTACACAGGCTGGTCAAGCTTTTGACATTTCACATTATTATATTTCAGAAGACTGTTATTTCTGTACATTAAATGTATAACCTTAGATTCATAGTGAACTGGCTCTGCGTACACATAAAAATAATTTCAGCTTTTTATTGCCATGAGAATTTATCCTTCACAACTCTGAAGTTTCAGTTACTTAAATTGAAGAATAGGAATGCTATAACATTGATGCAAATGTTTCAGCAATAGATTGTCATATACCATACAGAATGCTGAATGCTCTATTCATTATCATTTTGCAAAAGGAATAAAAAACACTAACACACAGAGAAAGAAATATGTTATTGATCCCATATGTACAAAAAATAAATTATATTACCATAAAAGAGCCATAAATGTTTGAGAATCAACAGGATTGCAGAGGATATGACCTTCTAAGGCAGGAGTTGGTTCTTGGATCCACAGGAACAATGTGTCACTTGTGCCAAGGCTAATCTGGAGGGGAAGAAAAAATAATTGAAGTGTTATCTCAATGTGCATGGAAAGCAATAGACAAATGAAATTAAAACCATTTGTTATTACCACTAATTGTTTTTAAATTACACATTAAGTCAATGGGATTCATGTTGAAACTAGCTCTGACTTAGGTTGTCATGCCAGTGAAATACACACTAGATGGAGACTGAGGTTTTAATGTAAAGAGCATTAGTTAAAAATAGTCACAAGAGTTTACTTAAAATCTTTCAGGCAGCTTACAGATTGATAGAAATAAAATAACTGTGAATCCAATATACAAAAAAATCAACACCAGCAGCTAAATTTATCTTATAATCTACAGCTATTTGATTTTTAATATATTTAATTTATTCAGGGATATGGACAGTTTCTGGGAACGTGTTTTGACTTACTGCAATATCTCCTTCTTGAAGCCTCATCCCTGCCAATGATGCTGAAAGCAAAGGGTCAGAATACCAGAAAGTTACTCATTTGACTCAACTGTAGAATGAGACATCACAATACATCACATTCACCATCTCAAAGCACAACAGAGATGGCAAATATGCTCATGATGGCCTTGGCCAATACACTGTAAAAGATGGGCAAAGCATTTGGGTAAGGGTGTGATTTTTCACATAATCAAAAAGCTCAAGATTAAAACTACAGAACTGCTTGATTTTCTTATGTTTTATGTATTCAGATTTTAGTAAAACAGACCCTTACTTAATACACTTGAAAGGAGAAACACTCCCACTTACATCAGGGTACTCACATATTTTATTGGACTAAGCTGGGTTTGAATCTCTAGAAGAAAAAATTGGACTTTTGGGAAATGCAGTTTAAACATCACACAGAGCATGAATGTAAAATAAGTCATGATGAAGCTTCCATCTTGACTCAAACCTGCATATGCTACTGTAATACAGATAAGTACTTTATTTTCACAGTCTTGAGAAACAGGTGACTGCTCTCCACTGAGTCTCCAGAGTTCCAAAAACTGACATTAAATTTAATTAACCTTTTCCTATACTGAGATCAATCAGTCTGACAAAAGGACACCTCTAATTCTTACAGAAACCCTATGAGGTCCATTCTCCACTTTTCTTTGCTTGAAAATATACAACAGCAATTTTTAATTTAGTATTTTCTACGTTAAAATGTTAGCAGTTCGCAGTAAGAACATTTTCTTAAGGGCAGGCAAACCAAACCTGAAGTTCTCAAGAACTAAATCAAGTCACCTCTGTTACTAGACAAAAGAGAATGCATCTGTCACATCCAGCTTAGCCTAGATGTCTATATCTCAGAAGAACCAGTGATGGAATGATGTTGGAAGAAGGTTTTAATGCTGATAAACACGATATTCTTTCATTGTATAGGGAGTATCCGAGAATCAATGAGATTGATTTAGAAGTTTAGTACATACAAAATCATATTCACTGAATCTTAGACATTTAATGATCTCACCTGGGTTGTCTCCTGTAAATGCTACTATTTTACAGTCTGAACTAAACCCATAACGCTGGCAATAATATGGAGAAATGGGCCCCTAAGGAAGGAAAGAAAGAGAGGAGAAAAAAAGCTCAAAAAATGGAAAGTAATCTTGCATTGTATGATACAATGTGTTGTAACATGGAACTGAAAAAACTTAAAGCAGCTGTAATAATAATTTCTGTGTATTTAAGGTAAGAATTAATATTTTAAAGATTTTTAGCCTAGATTATTTTTTTTTTAATTGTGACAACCTCACAAATACCCTCAGATTAAAATTTAAATTAGGTTAAGCAAATAGTAGCATTTTAGCTTTGGTTGTCTCTCCACTTATTCACACCAAGTAACATAAACATATCCATCTATTTTGCACACATATGTGAGTATTAATGCATAAAAATTAGAAATGCAATGCAAACACAGAGGAAACACAACATTTTTTTTAAATATACATCACAACATCAATGATGGAATATGACCCCTGAACTGTATTCTTTTAAGCCACATTTTATAGCCATAGAGAAAAAACAGGAGAAGAAAACTATCTGTAAAAAATACAAGGACATCTATAAGAGTTTTTTAGATGTTCATTACAGAAGATGAGCACTGAATTCAGATGGATCAGGTGATGAGTATCTACACTCTCTTACATGTGCACCAGCTAAAGCAATAGCTCTTTTTGTACTTGGTAGTGAGACTAAACTAATTTACTCTAAGAGATGTGCAGCTTGATTTGATTTCAGCATTATGCTACATGAACTGAGGAGCTTTAAATATCCAAAATTATTCACAAAGATTACCTAATTAACTCTACTACAGTCTAAAGCAAGGTCTCTGTCAAGACATGCAAATGTTGGGTTCTGTTTCTGCAGTAATAAATACTGTGCACAGTTCTGCAGTGACCAGGTGCTTACGGGCATGAGGTGGAGGAACACACAGGACCTCCCAAAGATTCCTGTCACTGAAGCATCTACAAAATTTTTCTCATTCCCAGGGCATGCAAGAATCCAAGGTGACCAAGGATGAAAGCTATGAGAGACACCAGCTCTCAGGTTTCAGGGCTGTCTCTGCTCTGGCATACACATTCACAACACACCTGGAAATGTTAAAGCAGTGTAGCTCTGAGGATAACTATGCACACACACAAATGCACTCCAAGAAAGTACTACTAGCAGAGCTCTGAGCACAAAGCTCTGTTTGTTGCTTATAACTCCTCTAGGCAGTTACATACCAGGACTGAATGGGATGGTACAGGGCATCCTAGTTTCTCCTCTAATCCAAGTGCACAAGCATCAAGGCAGGACAGTGACCATGCCTTTTCCCAAATCTGCAGCAGGTTCATCCCAGAACCTGCAAGACAGATAAAAATAAAAAAGAGGCATGTGTCATTAAACACCAGACAGTACTTGATCAGAAAAATCCACCTTGTTATAGGCAATAGAAAGCTTAGAGATGCATATTTTACATTCAGTTATTCCCAAATTAAGAGTAAAAGGAAGAACATGGATGCCTTCCCATCAACTCCTCCCCAAATCTTGCACCTTAGACAAAGACTTCACTACAACTATCTAAAGGTGATGCAGCAATGTCACCTGAAGGTTTGCTGTGCTTACCTGAGACCTAACAAAGAATGGGTGGTATGGCTTTGCACTACTTCTACCTTTGAGACTGACTAATCTTTCTCCATATCAATATTTCCTTCTTCAGAGACAACACAATAAAAGCTTAGAAGTACTCCCCCCAAAAAGCAAGAGGTCAAATTTTCAAATGTAGCCTTTAATTTGGAGGCTAGCCTGAAGAGTCCAGCTTTAAATATCAAAGTCAGGATTTTCATAAATGCTGAGCAGCCCAACTGAAAACGAGATAACATACCGAGCAATCCACATCCCTTGCTTATGTTCCTAAGATCCCTTTAATTGCACATTTCATTAAACTTGAAAATATGTGTTTCCGGTTAATGCTGTTCAGGGACATATCAGAATAACATTTTCATTTCAAAGGCTGTTTAGCCCATGACTTATCTAAAAAACACACCCACATTCTCAGCTGAGCATAGTGGAAAACCTGAAATGTAATTAAATTCAACACGTCTTTAAACTTTTTAAAACTCAGACTGGTGAAGCTGACCCCACTTGCAGTGTCTGTGGAATGAGACTATGCTTGAAATGCTGGAAGACAGAGGAAGAGAAGGAATGCAACAGCCACATCTCAACCAGCACATCTCAGGGCTCTGGCAGTGCTTTTATTCTGAAGGGCACATGCCTGCAACACACTCCACAAACATACAGCTGCTGGTTAACCATGTAAAAATGAGCACACTTCAGCTGAGACACTGGAAGAACCCAAGCCAAAACCTAGGATTATACTTAAGAACATAAATAATAGAATTAATAAAATCAACCAATCCCATTTCAGACAAATTAAACACACTTAACAAATTATGCACTGATTTATCTGTCCTATAATGCAAGAAGTACAGGAATCTGACAGAGCACAAAGTGCAGCATATCTGCCAAGGGCAAAAGGCGCATTTCCCTTTTCTGCTGTCAAAATCACTACCACCCACAGGAAAGGAAAGGTGGCAAGATTTAATCCAGCTTCTCTCAGCTCTATACTCTTAAATCTAGCCATCTCCTCATTGCAGGGATAAACTGAGTCCTTCCAGGGTAAACTGAGAGCAGCATCACTCAGCACTTTCCAAGCTCAGGTTTAGAAGGCTTTGTATGAAGAAATATGTAAATCTATACACTTTCCTGGAAAAGTCTCCCATTTAAAAATCCAAGAACCCCTTTTCTAGATTAAATTAAGCAGTGAGCAACAGAAACATTGAATAAATAGGAATTTTACTAAAGATTAGTTGTAATTTTCAGTGGGTTTTTTTGAAAAAAAATCATTTTCCCCCTTCACAAGCCAAGAGAAACATTGAACCAGTATCCTCCAAGATAATTTTGTAAGACATAAGGACAACCTCCAATCTTTTCTACACAAAACAGAAAAAAAACCACTAACCTTTATAACGTCTAAGTTTGTATTAAGTGTTGCAGAAACAACACTTCAGTTTCTTCACTGCTAGATATAACTGCACAAAGACTTTAATATGTCCTGAAAGAAGAAAGATGAGCTGATTTACCCCACTCTCAGAAATGCATTTAAAAGATGCAAAACAACTATTTTACAGGAACTATTAACCTGTTGGCCTGGATTAATCCTATCCAGCTCTGGACATGAAAATCTCCAGTCAGAGGAAAATAAAAAACAGAGCTGAATGCTCCATGAAACTGCTTCTCTTCCTGCTTTGATTATATGAGGCATGATGCAGAGCGAGTTCCTAACTCAAGCATCTCTGCTTATGATCTGCACTGCTAAGTTTAACATATCAAATAAGTAATAATCTGAGAGCTAATGGGAAAAAAATAAAATAAAATATATAAATATAAATAAAAGGCAGCCCTCTGACTTGTCACTCCAGATGGATACCCCATCAGCAATGAAGGATCAACCTGTGGATAACTAGGAATCAGTATTTCACTACAAGCATCACTGACTTTAACATAAAATGACCAGGACAATCACAATCAGGACTTACTAATACTTACTAAATATACAAAAGTGTAAGTGCCTCAGCAGTGAGGTGAGGGAGGACAACACCACCACCACCAATTCCATTACAAACACCAAACAATGCAGACTAACTGGTTTTATTAATCAACAAAGTATCAATATTTGCGTACATTCATGTACACCTGTATTCCAGCACTCTGGATTGTCTTTTCAGCCAGCTAACATCATAAGCAGTGCAGCTCTGCTGACACCACCCGAGGTACTTGAGGGGTAAATTCAGCCCACCACACTTCCTTTGAAGAGGTTTCAGTTCAAAGCATCGTTGGATAGAACAACAAAACCACTTATGCTAAGCTATGATTTGCCAAAGGCTCTTAGAAAAGCATTTCTAAAGAGAAAGCTCCTCTAGGTCAAGAGCTGAATAGCTGTTCTTTAAGGAATCTTCTAAAAGAAACAATGCCTCAAGTATTCAAGTTGTTTAGGTCCCAAATGTATCTTACTTTTAACATCTGCACAATATAAATGAAAATCATTCTTCATTCCACCAGAATGTAATTTGATTTTTTTTTTAAATCAATCACCCAGGGTGCTCAGCCATTCATGAGGGGCGATTTGAACCTTACAAGATTGGACCTTTAAAAAGAAAAAAAAAATAATAATCCTGAAACTGAATAGCACATTTCCTACAATAACCTGCAAATTTGGAGAGCTAAGTTATTGTGCAGAGCTCAACAATTTGCTGGGGTCTTTTAAAGATGATATGACCTGAAGTTAAACCTACAGAAATGAAGAATAGGTCTATTATCTGAACATTATTTGGCGAGATGCATTTTAAACTACAATATACAGGTGCAGTATAAAATACCAAGTGAATTGCAAGAAATTATAAATGACAGGAAAACAAAGGTTTTCAGCTGGATGCAAATAACCACTGCATACATTCTAATTTTATTACTGGAATCAGAATTCTCTCTCATTATGTTAGCAGAAGAAAGGAACAAACACAACAAAAATCTAACTTATAATGATGAAAAAACTTTTGTCTTGTAAAGAGAACTACAACATCCTGCTTAGTTCTCTTATCTTTTTCTCACACAAAGATTTAATAATCTTACATGCTCTGAACAGTAGATAAGCTGTATTCCAGTTCTGTTTATTCCAGAAGTGTAATAGAACAGGCTCTTTAAGAGCTGTTTAAAAGATGCAATGCATTTTCTAAAAAAGTTTTCCAACGAAGCAATTTTTCATTTTCTTTCATTTAAAAATGTTTTGGTTTTCAATCAAACACAGAAATTTTCATGTTCTGAAACTGAAGTAGCACAGCTTTCCCCTCCTTCCTGCAAGTAGTAACATTACCCAAAAAAAAACTCTAAAACTGTACAACAAACAAACCTCAAAACAAGATTTGTTTTAAGGATTTGAATTTTAAACATTTGAATCAAAAGTAACACTCCACTCCTACTGAAAAATAAAGAATCAACATATTTCTCTATCAGAAAGATATCTTGAAGATCTCACCATCTGTCTCTGAAATGCAGTACATGGAGGTAGATCCGTGGGTTGCTGAGCAGTTAAAGTGCTCAGTATTTGGGCCTACTAAGGAGCAAAGTGCAAGTCTCTGAAGAGTTATTGTTGCCAATAATCCACAAAAAAAAAAATTCAGCTGTGAAAACACACGGCTAACAGAACAGGACCAGAAGATAGATGTAATAATCTCACAACTGCTGCGAAATAGGCATGGATTGCCTTGCAATTTCTAGGGTCTCAAGTATAACTGGAAGATCTGATATTGAATAAGTTGTCCCATTAGCTAAAATTGAGGTGTCTTGCCTTTTCCTGTGAGTTTTGATGGAACAAGAGGTGAAAAAATGAGTTGGTCTTAACACATGGGTGTCAACTATGGCTCTACAATGCAAAAATTCCTTAAGAGAGCCTTGTTATCTAACCTGTCAGCTCTGAAATAATCTTCTTGGTTTCAGAGCAGGAATCAAAAATGCTATTTAGAAGTAACTGCAAAGCTCCCAGGAAAATGGTTTCCTTTGTAATTGCCATTTTAAATTGCCATTTGAACGCTGGATAACTGAGATAACACATAACAGAAAAGAGAGGTACTAAGTCTTGTCACTTCTTTGTCTTTCTTATGATGAATAGAGAGATATGGAAGGTTACTTTTTTTTTTTTTAAAGGAGGATTTTGTTTTGCTTGGTTTATGCTTTTTCTTTGCTTCATTTTTAAAAGATATTTCTCTTGCAGATCCATCCTCCAGTTAGATGGCGGGAAAAGTAATCAAATATACATCTTGTTCACATCCTGTGCAACTCAGAGCTAAACCAACAAAACTAAAGAACAAGTATTAGAACTATGAGGTCTAGCAAAAAAAAGCCACAAGTTTTTCATGCTTTTTAGCTACAAATAGAAACTTCAACATTCCTTTATATATCATAAAGTAATGAAAAAAAGGTACACTTTCATTTAAGAATATTTTCTGTGAATCCATCTTGTAGAAATGGGAATCACAGTATGGTGGGAATAAATAAGCATCCCTGACAGCACTATCAAGAGTCTCAAAATTTGAGAGGAGTAACTTAGTTTAAAATCTAATCTACTTGTCGTTTAAGACTGAAAATAAAGAGCAGAGAACTTGTCCCCCTTTTATGTAAGGTGGAGATGGAAAGGAAAATTTCCTTCTTGAATTGTCACTATGAGAAAAGCTCACACACTTACCATCACTGTAATCAATGGGTGCATAAGCTCCTAGGAAAAGGGAAGCTGCAAAACTACTAATCAAGGAGATTCTCTGAAAGAAAAAGGGTAAGATAGTGAGTCCCATCAGTATTCACTTCAAATAAAGTAAATAATTAAGTAATTGGAAGCACTAAATGTTAGTAGATGCTTAATGTTAGGCACAGAAAGCACACAATACACCTACAAGGATCTTCCAGTTCTTCCTTACTCCCTAAGTAATACAGCAGATATCCATCTAAAAGTAACCCCCCAATAAAAGCTATTAATAGCTTTGCATCCTGAAACATGCAAAACATTCCTAGTATATTAGCATACTCTATGTTATCACAAACCAATTCACAACTTCAGTGTTATCACATAATCATAAGGAAAACACTAAGGAAAAAAGAAACAACAAACAACAACAAGAAAAAAAAAACAAAAACAAAACACAACAACAGAAAAAGCCCAAAAAATCTGCATGTTGACAACAGAGGAATTGCCATAGGCAATCCAGAGCACAGGTCTGTATGTCTTCTAGAAGTTCTGGCAAGGCTCTTATAGCACCTTTACATTAACTCTTACCTTCCTTTCAGCTGAGACCCCAGACCTCCCAGAAGTTACTCCCAGAAGCTGGTTACAACCAGCTTTGCACTGAACCCCTACCTGCAGTTCTGCCTCAGGGTATGTTCCAGCAATGCATTAAATCCAGCTGTAGGGCTTCTAGTGCTGGCCCAAAAATGCCCTGGCCACATGATATAATGCACTCATCCTACATGTACTGGCCACCAGTACAGACGTGCTAGAAAAAACACCAAATTAACCAGCCACCTTGAGCTTTCTGAAAGGATCAAGTATTAGCTGTGCCTGAGAAGCTGGCATAAAAGCTGACAAATTCCTTATTGTGTGCTCTGACTAATTCAGAAGAAATAGGACTGTCACTCAGTAACTAATCAGAATCAAATCTCTACTGGTGGAGGGAGCCAGCAGTGGCAGGTTTTTTATTAATGATCATAAAACTGCTGCTTCACACAGCATTCAAAGACAGACTATAGCCAGAGCTCTAAAAAGTGGTTATAATGGCCAGGAAACTTAACGATGCACTTGTTCTTCATGTGTCTCTCCCCAAGAATATATCACATTGTGCTCAGATAACAAAGGCCTACCTTCTGTGTTACCCCAACGGGTACTAGCTGCCTGAAATGGAAGGAAAAGGATGAAGTTAAACTGTGAATCCACTAGTTTAGCAAGCTGACCTAGAGAAGGAAAAACATCTACCTCCACGTTGTAGAAACTGCTGAGCTGCTTCCTGAAGGTTCCCAAGAGCAACTCTAACATAGAGATATTTTGTGCTGGAATGTATCTTGCATATCCTTTATTGCTAAAAGGGGCCATCAACGTAACTAGCCCTCAAAATCTGAGCTTGATCTGACTAGTCCTCAGTTCCACAAACCCACTTCCCCTCCACTAATATATTATTCTCCAAATTTAGTCTTAAACATAAAATCAGACTGTGCTAGTGTTCTTCTTTTCATACTATCACTTACTAGCATAAAGGTTATGGAACATGTACTTAGAAGGAAAAAAATGGAAAAAAAGCAGCACTGTCCCAAAAAAATACAGTCAACTTTGCAACTCACTTCCTCATCAAGTCCCCAAGGAGTCCAATTTTAAAAGCCACTAAAAGGTTATGATCAATACTATCCAGAACTGCAGTAATACAAAAACACAGGCAGCCTGTCTTCACTGGTCTGGATGTTTGGCGCATTCTAATCACAGGACAGAGCCCTTCTCTCATTTACATCATGTGTGCACAGAGTTTCCACCTTGCTTTAAAGCATGGCATTTCAAACACAGCCAGATGAAGACTCAAAAAACTAAAAACAATAATGGAAATGCAAGCTAATTTCTGAAAATGAAAAATCAGATGGAAAACAACTACACAATGCAATTCATTTGTAATAAGATAATCAAAGCAGCTCCTCAAGGGAAAAAAACACTATTAAAGAAGTCTAAAAATCAATTTCAGGCTTTTTCCTACACAGATCCACATGGATGCCACCTTTATCTGGGAGAGCAATCACATTCCTGCATGCAAATGGCCAGTTCCAAGTGTGAACATACCAACTGTGTGCTGAATTACTCACTTGTGTTCAAACTGCTGTACATACAATTTGCTACCACGCAAATGAAAGTCTGTCTTTTTTAGACTTCTCCCACAAAGGCAAGATCCAATGGAGTCCACTGTGTTAAATGTAACATTCAAGACAGAACTGACTCCAGATTTATCTGCCCAATGATTAACAATTTTTTTTTAAATCTAATTTACAATTTTCAGTTTAAAACCAAACACAAGAATCAAAATGCTCTTTACCAAAAAGAAGCCTGACGTCTCCACAAAATTATTTTTAAAATATTTTCAACTATGTTTTCCAAGAAGTGTATTGAAGGTGTGCCAACCTCAGTTTGCATGTAGACCTCAGGATTCTGGCTGTAAATCTTTGCTATCTGGTTTCCTGTAAAACGCTGAGAAAGAAATGCAAATGCTTAGAAACACAAACCCTCAATGGAGTCAATAATCATTAACTCTGTGTAATGAGTTCAGTACATTGCACTTTGGATATTTAATTTGCCTGATGCATGATGAAAGTCAGTGCACAGCAGGCAATCTGCACTAAACAAGCTGGAAAAAATAGTCTCATTTTGAGAAATTTTCTCACCCTTTTGGAAAAAAAAAAAAAAAGGCATGTGAAAAAGCATTACTATCCATAACTTACATTGCAGAAATGACAGTTTAATGGAATGAATCACACATATTCTGTGCACAGCAACCAGCACAATTCAAACACTGCCTTCATATCCTTGATGAGGTTTAGGCTACCCAATCAAAATACCTCTCCAAGGCAGGTGAACTGGGAGCAAAGCAGGGTGTTTCATACTTAAAGAAGCAACTTCAGCACAAGCTATTGATAGTCGTAAGCATAATTATTTTTCATCCGTGTATTAAAAAAACCAAAAACAAACCAATATTTAACACTGAAACCTTAATCCTTAACAAGTTAAAAATAAACTGCTAGTGGTGCATGAAGTTTGATTTCAAAACTGTCCATTGCATGATGCTTCAAAAACAGAATCAGCAACTTGAGAGGTTAGAGCCTTATTCTGTTGAACCAACATTAAGAGCAGACAGGTGCTGGGATACCTGGAGGGCAGCCCCTCTCCATGACTGTCATAGGGACAAGAAAAATAAGCTCCAGGAGGAGACAAATGACAGAGTACTCTCTGATAGCATCCCAACCTTTTAAAACTCACTTCTCTTAGGTCAACAGTTGCTTGTGAGCCTTCAGAGAAGGCCAGAAGTAACCTAGAGAAGTGATCCACAAACAGGGTGGCAAAACCCCAAGTAAACTTTTAACACAAATTGGATTGCCATCCCAATGGAAATGTGGCTGCACAGGAGCTCCCATGGGAGAACTAGGCCCTGAAACTGTAAGCAAGGCCACCAAACATTGCCTTTCAGAACCACTGGCCAAATGCAACAGCTCACCCAAGCTGCTTCCTGCAGCCAAATCCCCAGGGTTTGCCTAATTTCACTTTAAAATTTCCACACCTCCTTCTGTGAGACTATTGCAAAGCACAGTATCACTGGAGTTTCTTAAAAAATTCTTTTGGACGTAATGTCTGATCATTACTTGCTGTGGTATCCCTGTAACGGCAGAACTGCTTCTATCAGAAGACTCTGCTGGGGACTTTCTCCCCTCCCCTTCCTTACCTCATAGGCTCGGGAACCTGTCATGCTTGCTAGGTGCTGTGCTCCCCCCACGGCCTTCTCCAGAGCACTGCACTGGGAAGCTGTGCTAGAATCCATCCAGATGGGGCTGTTACTGACAGAAAAACAAGCCTGCAACCAAATATCCTTCATTAGTAAGTCTGATCCCTCAGAAGTCCCTGCTAGAGAATTAGCAATACAGCAGACCTGCTATCAGCTGAAATTTCAGTTCTCTGGCTGCCTTCTAGTCTGCTCTCAGCAGTTACAGGAAAGCAGATATTAGGCAGCATGTTGGTCAGTGGTGAAAAGTTTCACCCAAACTTCATACCAGAGAGAAGCAACAGGCTTTTTCTGCTGCTACCTGACATAAACTTCAGCACAATGTGTACTTCACATACCCCGCTGTACCTCAGTAAACTCCTTTGGTAGCCAAAGCCCTGGGCCAGTTTAGTTTATACCAGTTTAGCCCCACTTTTTAGAACTCCTCTCTAAGCAATCAGATTTTGTCTTTCCACAGCTCTACTAACAGATTATCTTAAATGACTGGCATAACTATTTGGGAATGCAACCTAGGCTTAGTACATCACCAGAGAGCATTTGAATTCCATTTCCATTAATCTGACTAATGAAATCACTAACACTGCAAGGAAAGTCAGGTACTGTAGTGTTTTTCACCACAATTTTTTGTTAATACAAATAAATTAAAAATGTAAAACATCTACAGGTAGTTTACAAAAAATGTTACATTTTGTAAAAGAACAAGCAGGCTGTTACATTGACACAAAAGCTTCTGGAATTCCCACTGGCGCCTTTATGCTTTTAAAGCAGTATATACTGTTACTAAGGAGAAAAGGAAATGTCAAAAGCCCTGAATCTCAAGGAATAACCAGTATATTTCACTTCATGCTGCAGGGCCATGCAATTCAGCCACACAAAAGGAAAGGCTTACAAGGAGAAAAGGACCAGAAAAAAAGACTCTGCAGCTCCCCCCTCAGTGCTCCTCTATGCACATTACCTTTAGTGACTCATGTAATGGCAGTTCAGATGATGCATTCTTTAAAATTTGGAGGCTTCCTTTTTTCCAGTACACACTCCCATGTTGCTGCAGAAAGTACAGGAACAGAAGTTGGAGATGCCCTCCCAAGCCACAAAGCTCATATTCTGATCTGAATTTCAAACTCTAAGGGACAGAGAACTCTCTCCAAAGTAGGACCCCAAAAAAATGCACCTTTTCAAATCAAGTGCCTTATTAAAAGACTTTCTAAGATCGAGCAAAATGTACTAAACCAGAAAATAGAGAAGTCAAGAGACAATGATGATTTTGAACTCTAGCAACTTGTAGTGGGAACTATTATTATACTGCTAATAGCATTAGGTACTTCTTTCAGTGTTCTTTGAGTTGCAGCCAGGGCTCCACAGACCAGACTGTTGAACTGTGCTGTTCCAGCACAGCCCTCACATTGCCCAGTGACATGCCTGCCCCAGTCATCACTAACAGACTGTATAACACTGAGATTATTTAAGCTCCATCTCTCAGGAGAGATGCCTCAGACATCTCTAGTTATGAACCTGAGTGGAGGTGCACTCCCATGGGTGTTATGTACCTTTTGGAAGTATAACCTAGGGGTTATAGTCCCAGTTTGTCAAAGGATAGGTAAAATAAAGGCAATACAGGCAATCTGGAAATACACTTCTTTTTTTCACTTAGTTAGCTGGAGTTACTTGGCAGTCCCTAACCTCGAATACAGGCAATCTGGAAATACACTTCCTTTTTTCACTTAGCTGGAGTTACTTGGCAGTCCCTAACCTCTGTTCCACTGAAGAATTCCTAACAGAGCCTTGATACCAGCTATGATTTTCTGACACTTTGCTCCAACTTTCAACTGAAATCAATAAAACATGGAGATCAAAGCAAGAGTTTTGATTAATCAGTCCCAGATTTATCAAGATGAAAAACCTAAACATCATGTGTCAGAATTAGCTATTGCTTTGGTGCTGTCCTCACCCTGAGTATCATCTGTTCAAGTTATAAAGACTTCCTTGTTTTACCAGAGTCCTAGGAGACTGACTAACTGGCTAAACATCAGGATGGGCTTTATAAATCTCAGAAAAAAGGCATTATGCCCTACAGGCTACATCATGGTAGCATCTTTGTCATTTTTGCATCAAAGACTATCATAATTTAGTTTTTGCTTTCTTAGGTAGGTTTCTACCCTAGCCAACAAAAACTGGTCAACAGGATGTTCCTATGCCTTTAGCAAACTGAGCTCCTCACTGTTTTTTTCCACCCCACTTCCACAAGCACCTGGATATGCTGAAATTCCAAATGACCCCAGTCAGTTCAAAATCTGCACGTATAAAGAATTTAAACAACAGGAAACTGACTTGTTATGCACCATACTGATCTAAACAACTGCACTGTAAACCTCATCTTCCACTCCCACCACCTTCTAGGGATTGCTTTATGTGCTTCAGGTTTTCAGTTCCCCTGATGTATGTGCCTTTTAATGGAAGCTTATACAGAAGCTTTGGTCTCATTTGATGTCTTTATGCTCTTACACAATACAATTTTTTAAATGAAATTTATCACTCTACCTTATACTTTTTTGAAGAAATATAGTAAGACTGATGTTTTTCTTTATAAACTAACCTGGCCAGCACCAGACAAAGCTCTGACTTGAGAGAAGTTAAAGCCTGAAGACTTCATCTTTTCCAAAATCATATCCAGAGCCTAAAAGAACAAACAGAATCAAGAATGACTATAATGAGCTATCAAATTATGCATACTCACAACCTCTGGAATTAAACAGTAAATTCATGTTATCACTGATAAGAGTTCATCGTAAGATAATGAAAAATTAACTAATGACAATGAACTTCTCAAGAAGCTGCATAAATTAATTTACTAAGTAAGAAGCCATAAAAGAAAAGTTGAATCATAGGCAAAAAAAAAAATCTTTAAACAAGCTGAATCACAAAGACCCATTCTTTGAAACGTAAGTAAGAGGCAAGAGTTAAAGAATTCCAATTTATTAAAAATCCAATTTTAAGAGTGACACAAAGAAGAATTCTCTTTTTCGGTTCTTGCTTTTAGAAAACTATGAAGTCCTCGTAGGGCGCACCCCGCTCCCCATCTTACAAGATGTCAGGCATCATCAGTACCACTCCCTCAGTGGCAGCTCAAAACTTTAATATAAGGCTAATTCAAGTGTATTTGAGCAATTTAAGCAGCTAGGTTAATTTTGTTGTTGCTATATTTTCCTGAAGTATAAAACCAAAAATTAATCTAGCTCTACATAGTATCATTCAGATCAGTATTTTCCAGACTCTTTTGACAAATGAACTACGGGAATACCTCAAAATTTCCCAAGAAACATTATATACCTATAACACCCTATACATTTAATAATAACAATTGTTCCTGTTCATTGTGGATGCCCCCTCCCTGGAAGTGTTCAAGGCCAGGCTGGATGGGGCTTTGAGCAACCTGATCTAGTGGAAGGTGTCTTTGCCTGTGGAAGCAGGGATGGAGTTAGATGATCTCTAAGGTCCCTTCCAGGCCCAACCATTCTATGATTCTATGATTCTATGATTATGGGTCAAAAGACCAAATGCAAGCAAATCTATCAAATTTTTGTCAAATACTGTGGATCACCAGCTGGAGATTCTGTGAGCTTTCAAATAACTGGTCAAATCACAGTAGTATGATAAATGTACATAATACCATGCAAGAGCAAGCATTGCAGAATCTGCACAGAACCAAGGAAGGTCTTATTTTAAAATAGAAAAGAATGTTGGATTTTAAAATAAGTCTAGTCAGGGCAACAGAATGACCAAATAAATTGCTATTTAACCACTTACCAGTTGAGACATCACCAGTTAGCAAAGCTTATTCTAAAAAAATAGTGCAAGTAACAGATGCTACAAAACACAGATTTAAGCTAGGCAAAGGAACAGCTGTGTATGAAACAAAAAGACAAGGAAAAAAAAGAGTAGCCTTTTTTTCAAATAAGGGAAAGTCAGGAAAGAACTTACAACACATCCAATGCTATAACAGCAGAGAGTGAAGAAACAAACTAAAAAACTCAAACTGTTAGCAACTTCCACTGTGTTTGTTGATAACATTAATATTTGCATACCAAAGACACAGAATAATACTTAAAAGAAACAAAACACAAGCAAAAGAACGATGTTGATTTGAATGATGAGTTTCACTATTGCTTCACTATTCACTATTTCCATTTCAGTAAGAGCAAGGAAGAAGTTGAAGTATATAAAGCTTGTTCATACCTTGACCCACATCAGCACAGGAGAAGTGACTGTCAGTCTGTCACTGTGAATATAGACTCCACCTTGGGTCCTACAGAAAAACAGTATTTTCTTTCAGTAAATTCAGCGATTTTTTTTTTCCCTGCCAAGCAAAGTTCTTCAAGTTTATTAATAAGCAAAGAGAGTTTGCAATGCTCTTATGTTAAGACCAAGGACACAATCAGTGTTTGAAAGTTGAAAAAAGTAAAATCCAGCCCCTAGATGACATAAGAGATGTTTGATCCAATTGCAAAGTAAATAATTTGCAATTAAATGCTCTAATCCTGAAGATAGGAGATAGACTCCAACGCTGATACTGCTCACTGGCTCCATACTATTTCTAAGTTTCCTGTCACCGTTAGTGGCTTGAACCTATAAGATTAAATTTATTTTTTGCTGTTACACCGTTAAGTAAATAAATGTGTTTTATTGAAACTTGTTCCTATGGAGGATGATATTTGTAAATTCTAGTCTTTTTGCTGAAGTAAACAAATACTGTCATCTACATCTTCTTGTGAGATTTGGAACCACTGAATGTGTCTCCAAATGCCTTTTAGAAGTTCTCCTCATGCAATTTACTTGCTGTTATCACAGCATTCCAACCTGACACAAAGGCAGTGCTTACTTTCATGTCACCTCCACAGTCTGAAGTCCCAAAAGGGAAAAAAAAAAAAAAAAAAAAAAAAAAAAAAGAGGTATATTTATATATAATACTATAAAACTTTGGGGTAGATTTAAAAAATTAATTTCCTTTTGGGAGTTCTTGCCATGTTTACACACTAAGGAATGCAACAGCATATACTACTCTTGCCAAGTGTGAAACATCAACATGGTGTGAGCTTTTTCTACTTCTCCACACATATCAATGAGGCCAAATAAGGCAACAGCCCCGCCACCCTCATCTCCAAAGTTCACATTTAAGTACAATGCAAAAAGCCTTACTTAAATTCCGGAAGGTCTTTATCAAAATGAACATTATCTTCATAAATGACTCTCAGCTGTTCATCAATAGCAATGACTTTCAGCTAGAAGACATAAAACAAAACCAGGATATTAACAAAAAACTAACAATTTTTTTTTATTTGTTATTTCATACTCATTTATACTAATTCTGTTCCCACACACAACATGTGAAAGAGGACCACCCCAACGCATACAACTCACTGAAAGTATGGGCACAATTCTACACTGAAGAAGTTATGATGTTAATTTCCAGCATAGCACCTATTCAGCAACACTTATATTTGTTTGTGTTTCTCACCCATCCACCCCCAACTTCCTCTTAATCACACAAGACTGAGATGCAGGCATATGCTAAAGAACAGCAAATTATCAGGTTTGTAGCTTGCATCATGGCAACTAATTTTTTCCAATTTCTCCAAAGAATACAGTATCTTAAAAGATGCCATATGTTTGGGGTTTTTTTTTTTTAACTCTCCTTGTTTTTGTCCCATCTTACCAAGGAACCTAACAGCTCCTTAGGATACCTTGAGGACTTCCCCCAGTCCCCACGTGGTGGGTCAATCTGAGCCTGGCAAAGCTCAGAGGGTGTTTGTTACACAAGTATATTCTGAGTTTCTGCAACATATGGAAAGCAACTTCACAAACACCCAACTCCATAAAGCTGAGCTTTCTTGTAAGCACAAACTAGGAGAGTACCACAACCCTTCCTCCTCTCCCTTCACTCAAGTTCAGTTAGTACAGAAGAAAAACATTAAAAGCCTAGAGGAAAAGTAAGAAGGGTGCTCACATTCTGGACCTAATTTTAAAAGGGTAAGACTGCAAACTGCTGCAAAAGGAGCAGCCAAAAAAAGACCCTACAAAGTCTAAGTAATGTCAAAGAGTTGTATTCAACTAACATGGCCATTCCTGTTTCAGCCATGCTAGTGTAGGGCCATTATTAATGCACTGGCACAGCTCATTACCAATCTGATGCCCTGCACTAGCCTAAAAATGCCTCTCACCCACTGCAGCTTCACTGGCTTTCTGCCTGCAGCACAACTCCTGAAGAAACACTTGATCAACCTAACCTGGATGTGTCTTATCAAGCTCCCAAGCTTCAGCACTGCCATAATGAAGAGATTCATGCTCTTGCACTTATCAGGCCCATCCACAGCTTTGCCCGAGTTTCTATTCAGTGCAATTAACACCCAATTGTGCCAACAAACCAGAACTGCCTACAGCAACCCGAGCATCCAGGTTGTGATTCACCCCAGGACGCCGCACAAGCTGGATGCGGGTGCAAATCCCAGCTCGCAGCCAGCCTGATGTCCCAGGCACAGGGGTCTCCCTGCAGCCTGCTGGCAGGAAAGGGCCACCCAATTCCTTTGGGGATTAAGCGCATCCCTGGCAGGACGAGGAAAACCAGGACGTGCAGCTTCAGACGAGAGATGGGGCAGGAGGGAAGGGCTGCAACAGCCGAGCTCACACAGCTGCTCTAGCCCACGGGGGCCTTCCCGCACATGCAGGGCTGGGAATCCTTTCCCACCAGCCGCGGCAGGCACCCTGGGCACCGAGCGCAGCGCCCAGGAAACCCGGCACAACAAAACCGCGGCTGTGCGGAGCAGAAGAGGCGATGAAAAGCTGCGGGAGGGGGAAGGCCCGCCCAGCTCAGCGGGCCGGGATGGCGGGCGGGCCAGCCCAGGCCTCCCCGCCGGGCCCCCCGCCCCGCCG